ATTATGAGAGGACGTATCAAGACAACTCATAATGAACTGATCTCAGCACTTACGCAACACCGATCATGGGGCCAATGGTGGATCTTCGTGGTATTGGACCAAGACTGGCGGAATGGTAGATATTTGCGTGGAATGTTTTGCGACTCTGTTCACCGAGCACATCATCACCATCCATCGAAGAGTCAGCATTGACGGGTGATCCGTTCTGCACTGGTGTCGATAAAGCATTCAGCGTTGTTGGTTTAAGCTGCGATGATGCAGGGGCTGAATCATACGAATGCGGTATAACAGTATGAAGACTTAATCTTTGCTCTTCTTACCTGATCGATACGCTAACAACAACCATAATTTAGTCAATAAGATTGTCTCAACACGCCCAAGAAAACGTTCCAATGTGTGTGCGGTAAACGTTTATCGGTAGCTATCGTTATATTTGTTTGTTGTTCAATAAAAAATTTACTTATACATTTTCAAATATGAAAGTACAAAAACACGCTGGATGCTGCTGATCACTCACTCGGCTGATGTGACTTGGTCGACATCGGTTCGACGGATGTTCGAATGTTGCTCAGCTTCATCCTCGGTGAGAACCTAACGCCTGGTGGCAATTTATCCACTTCTCGAGATCTACTGTCCTAAAAGAACAAATTCAAACGTAACACTATGGCTCCTATCATTCATTTACTAACTGTAAGATTCCGATACGCACTGAATCAAAAAATAATTTGAAGGCATATCTGCTCAAGAAATTAATTTAAGTTGTACTATCAGTTCTAGGGTTTTGAAGTAATAAATTTTGAATAGATTGAATTTTGAATAGATTAACGAATCGAAAAAATAATGAATTCATCAAAAAACTAAAAATTTTGAAGATTTCTCTGTTTTGAACTGTTTTGAAGTAATTTCTTTGGATCAAAAGAATGATCACTATGACCGATCATTTCGCATTGATACGAACACGAAGCAATGAAAGCTGTTGTGAAACAGTTTGAGAACACATGAAGATGCCAACCTTCTTCGTATACTCCTTCGAAGATTTTATGCGATGACCCGGTCTCCTCACGGCATCTTCAGCCGTTTTCCATTTCCGCTGAGCCTTCTTTTTCAGCTCTGAGGACCGTTCAGAAGACGTTCGATTCCTCGCTTGCTGCTGTGCGCCACCACGCCCACGGTTATTGCTTGCATCTTCAGGCGAAGCATTCCGCTCCGGCGCTTCGCCGTAGTAGGTGTCTGCCCCAACAGATGGCTGTCCTGGTTTCTGCGGTACCCTCAGTCGTTTCGGTTTCTTTTTCGCCACTCGTCCACGATAGAAACGAATATCGCCTTTGTTCGAGAAACTCTCACTGGCCGGATCAATCACACCGTGGAGCCATGAAGTTCGATGGGTAGAATTGGGCCGCTGGTTCGACGTTGGACCACTCAAAAAATGATATCTCTTCTTCGCTGGTTTCGCCTCATTCGACTCCCACGATTCACCACTTTTGTGTTTCTTTTGAGTTTGGTGACGATTCGATAAGGATGAATTCCGTTGAGCCGAACCATCCATTATCTTCTTTTTCTTTGTATTCTTCTTCATCGCAGGTTTCTTCTTTGGATGATTCAGCAGCTTCGTTGAGCTAACCGGAGATGAGGATCGCATTCGATCACCAGAAACTTGAGCATTCCCCTTGGAGTGAAGAGGTTTCTTGGATGGATGGTGCAGTTTCCTTCTAGTTGGTTTTGGGCGTGTCACATTCATTGGTGCTCGACTTCGCGTTGCAAAACCAAGTTTCTTCGATGGTACTCTTGAATTACCACCTCTTGGTGTAGCACGGAAACGAGTGGATTTGCCGTTTTGCAACGGTCCTCTTGTGAACATTCTGTTCGCTCTGTCCGACCCGTTGCTCATACTGCGATGATTGGTGACGTTTCGAGGCCAACTCCCGGCTCGTGGAGAANTCTAGGTCTGATGGGTCGCCCAAACTGATTCAAAGCGGCTTGTTGCCTTGAGCGATACGTTCGAACGTTCATCGCCGCATCATGCGCCTTCGCTGCGGCCAGTCGAGCGGCTCGCTCGGAATCTTTTCGTTGCACCCATGATCGATGTTCCTTCGAACTGTTTAGCGGTTTCCCGAAATGACGTCTTAATCTCCTTAAACTCTCTGAATTGTTCCCGGGCTGTTCATATTTGGTTCTGCGGGCAGCAGTCAACTGATACGGCACCGACTCTGGTTGAACGTTTCCGTTTTCGACTGAGTTCTCATGATTCCACAACGTTGTGCACCTACGCTTACGATTGTGTGTGGTGGAGTATGCCGACTCTTGCAGTCGGCGTAAAATATGTAACATATTCAAATGCCATTCAGTGTCAGTTGACAGTCTTCTGCTCATGGTGCCGCTCAATAATCCTCGGGCAGATCGCAGTTGCCTCGGGCGACGTCCACGTCTCGGATTAAGTTTAACCGAAGCGCTTGGATCACTTGTGATCGTTTCCACTGCTCGCTCATCGTTATCACCACCAATTGCAGCGCTGAATTCATACTGCAGCATAGCACATTTGAAGTCGAAGAAGTAGTATTCTGAAAGATGAAAATTGATTGAAAATGAATTAACTGGAATGCGATCAGCTTTTTTCAGCTTTTCTCACACAATTCCCACACGATTTAGCCAATTATCCTTGACTGAATCGTGTGGGAATTGCATATCAAACGTCGTACAC